GCATCGGCCTATGATATTAGGAAGATATTTTACTGATATTATTAAGCATTCAGTTATCTTATACCTGATTTTATAATATTTGTTTTTATATAAATCACCTTTGTATCAGCCTATTATATTAAAAAATTTCAACCAGTGTTAAGCGTGTCAAGATTTGTTGATCATGTTTCAAATTCACAGAGTTTTTTCGAAAAATATGGAAAAATAATGGAGATATTTGGATAAAATTTCTTACAGGGCAATAGGGTTGTTAATGGAGCATTCCAGCTAATAATAAAACATATAATCCACTCTGGAGCACTCCAGAAGTGGGTTATAAGTTTTATTAATGTCTGGAGTGCGCTCTAAACAGTCAACATTCCATAGTTTTTGGGTAAAAGTACTTTTATAGAATATTTATTTATGGGTATAATTTACATATAACAATAATATTAAATAATTTCATCAAATTATGCACTTATAATTATAGGGAAAGTGCATATAAAGTGCACTTATAGAGAGTGTATATATGGAGTGTCGACTGTATATCATTTTTTACCATAGTGCTAATGTTGAAGGAACCGATTTTCAAAATACTGTCCATGAGCGCTTATGTAGTAATTTGTTGAATGAAATCTGTTCAATTGTATTCCCAGGGTTCTAAACTGAAATTCTCTGATGCAATCACTAATATTCACATTTTTACTTGTTGGGATCACATGCCAAACATTATTACAATATATACTTTTGCTGTATTTAATCGTTGTCAAATAATATTTATATCATTAAAAATTTGTTATAATACTCATTGATTGAATAGAAAGGTAATCTGAAGGGTATTAGTTAGTAAACATAAATCACTTTTTTAGTCCACCGATTAATAGATCATCTTTATATTCGCCCACTAAATTAAAGTGAAAGACAATATATATTATTAATACAGTATACAACACTTATATGGCAAATATGCCGTATCACTGTGATATTTTTGCTGGGTAACTACCTAAATGTCTGGAAATTTCATTACACTAAATACAAATATAAATATGCAATATTATAGATAAAAAAAATTTTTAAGCCAATCAAATAATTAAAATTTATTAAGTTCAAAAATCTTTGTTCCACTGGAACTGGAATTTTAGTCCAATAGTGATCTAGTAGAACATTCCAATTTAGTGCCCAATACTGGTTCTAACCATTTTTTTGGACAATGCCTACAATAACTGTACAAACTTTTTTTATAGGGTCGAACTACTGCATCAAGTTCACCTATAAACAATTTACAATATGAAAGTCATTCTTTTGCTAGTTTTTTTTTTTACAAGAACACCTTAATTACGAAACATAAGTTTAGAGATTTATCATTATAAATATTTATTGCAAATGCGTATTACATTATTAATTAATAGCTTTAAATAATTTGTTTGATTTATATTGACTAAGTTAATAAATCATCCAATCTATAGATTGCAATTATCATTTACTTTTTTTTATTGCCTAGCTCTTTCTTTAGAAGTACTTTAAAGTCTGCATCATTGAGATTCAACACGTCTCCAGCATTATAAATATTATAATTCAAAGTAATATGATTTAAATCCTTGATTTTAACAAGCTTGTTTTCCAATATTTCTTTTATCATTTTCAAGAGATATTTGGACATAAATGTCTGCTATGCCTTCTTAAATTCGGGAATAAATGTTGCTTCTTTATTGATTACCTCAAAGAAACGATTGAGAAACGATTTCCAGTTATCTTCTTTAAAATAAGCCTCAAGATCGGCTTTTTCAACATGAGAAAGAGACTTGATTCTATGAATTACAGTTTAATTAACAAAATTTTTTTATGATTAGAACTTGAAACTGATTTTATTTCATGTTAAATCAGATTTTAAAATATAAATTTACAAAATGAATTACTTACTTAAAATCCTCAATGAAATGTTTTGCAACTTTTTTGATACCATTTCGAAGTGCATCTCTGTAGCTCCAATATGCCATGTTGGCAGCATCTTTCAAGACTGAAATATCTTTATATGAAAATTTTTTTGAAGGAAAACATAATTTAATACATCTAAGAATTATTGTTGTCTTGAGATACCACGTTCTAAAAAATAAGCATTTTAAAAATGCTTGAAATGTTGTTGATTCCTATAATAATTTGTAAAAATTAATAAAATAAATAAATTTTGCTATAACAAAAAAACATCATATAGTATGCCAATTCGAGTATTAAAAAAAAAAAAAAAAAAAAATTACTTGTTGAGTAAAGATATCAGTTCTTTCTTCATTATCTGACTTTCTAAGGCCATCATACTGTGCTATCTGATTTGCAATTTTCAGAAGCTTTGGTCGTTCAGCAATATATGCTGCTGCTTCATAATCAGTATTGAATAAAAGAGTGTTTTGGTTATTTGATTAAGATTGTAAATGTCAATATCGAAATACTTGTGATCGAGAACGAGAGCGCTATGCATAAAAATGCTGAAGATGAGTGCGCTTTGGTGATTGAGAATGAGAATTATATAAATGAGAGCGTCTAGGTAATCATGAACGATGTCTTGGTGATCGTGAACAAGAAAGTCAAGAAAGTCTTAGTGATCTTGAATGAGAAAGTCGAGAAAGTTGAGAATGTCTTAGTGATTGAGAGCAAAAATGTTGAGAACGTCTTGGTGATTGATAATGAGAAAGTCAAGAATGTCTTGGTGATTGAGAACGTCTTGGTGATTGAGAATAAAGATGTTGTGACCTAGAATGAGAGCAAGTATGCTGTAATTGAGAGTCCTTAACATTGTTGTTTAAAAATAATTTATTGAAAAAATCAAAGTCTTCATTATTAACGTATTCAGGATCATGGCTTTCGACATTCTTGTTCAAATTTTTACTACTTTTAGTTAAAATCACTTTTTTATACCAGAAGCTTTAGGTATCTTTTGACTTGCAGACGCTTTCTTAGAAGTACATTGATTTCATTTTATACTAGCTTTCTTGGCCATTATAATAATTTTTCTCGAAATACACAATACTATAAAAATTAAGCAGTTTGGAAATAAATTTATAGTTAATACATCTCATAAGTATATACCATTTGTTTATTTTTATAATATATAAAATCTGTTTTATGTGCTTGATTTTTTTCAACAAGAAAGTTTTATATAAGCTTAGTGAAATCAATAATGCAATAGAATGATTAGTTGAGAACGTGCAATGTATTAATTAAGTAAACAGTATCGTTCTGTACCAATCAATTAATCATTCAATCTGTTGACAAGGGATTTAATAGTAGTCGATACTACTAAAATCTACCTCAAAGGTAGTGCATCGCGGTAAACTTATGAGCCACACAAGGGCACCAAATTTGGTTCGTATTTAACTATTATGTGTGGAACAATGATTTACATGAAAAACACTAATTAGACCTTTATTTTCTTTTTGCAATTTTATACACACTTTTCATTTTACAAATTACATCACTTTTTGCTCACATGCATTTTTAACTATTAATTAATTACTAATTTGCTATTCTACTTCTAAATTTATTACGACATTTATTATACATATTATTATATTATGACTGACTTTTGTATTTACTATATGCATCACCTATTAATCAATTTTGAACTTTCACTATTCGCACCCGATCGAATATCATGTGGGTCACGTAGACCACGTAACGGTTTGATCGATCTAATCTAAGTGTTCGAAAAGAGAAAACTTTTTTTATTTTTTTTTTATTGTTATTTTGCTTTACGATTTTAATAAACTCTAAGTCATATCAACTGTATTTCTTTTACAAAGTGCACTATATTTCTATTGTTCTATTACACCGTCATTACTTATTACACCATATCGATGCACCTGATTCTAACCAATTACCTCAGAGATATTATTACTACAATTTCGACTCTCACTATTCTTCCACTTTAATAGACCAATATTTAGTTTCTTATTTATTTTAACAAATTTTCTTCACCTTGTATAAAATAGTTAATTTTATCTAATGTGCTTGTAATCAAAAATACATATTATTTGATTCATTTGTTTAAAACTTCTTTTTTACTTTATGTATTTTAAAAGTTATCTGCTACATTTTAAATTAACATTTTAGTATCCTAAATTGAATCTGATTTAGGTTCAATTTTCACTAAAATAGGTTGAATTATATATTACGACTTGTAAAAAACTTGTTTGAAGTATGCACGTATATTTATGTAATCAAATCAGCTCAGATCATGGTAAGAATAAGATGAATATTATAGCAATACTTTAAAAGAACAGGGTATGAATTGAGTAAATTACTTTTATTACTAACTTTTCATAAAGACTTTTATTTCACCTAACAAAAAATATATTTGAATTGAAGTATTAGTAGCTTGTAACAATGATCTGATTAAATTGATTAATAATATTTATCAAATATAGCTATATATTATTTAATTCTATTTATTTATTTTAATTTATTATTTTATACATAATTTATTAAAAATATAATATTTAAATTTATAGCAAATAAATTACAAAAATTTTTAAAAAAATTGATAAAATAAAAACATTTTTGAAAGATATTGATTATTTGCTTTAAAAGCTTCGAGCATCTATTTTTTAGATCTGATTAAATTTTGTTGAGAATTCATTGTTTATCATATAAAAAATACAAAAGTAATACTTAAGCAACCTTTATTGGTAAATTTTTGAAGAAAAAAAGGTGGGTTGAATCTCGCTTATTTGTTCATCGAAATGGTAACTCACACAGGTCGAAAGATGAAAAATCAGGCACAAATCAGGTACCTGATTTTAAACTGATTACTACCTGATTGGCACCTGATTTATGCATATTTTTGTACCAAAAATTTGGTACAAAAATATGCATAAATCAGGTAGTAATCAGGTAGTAATCAGTTTAAAATCAGGTATCTAATTTGTGCTTGATTTTTTATCTTTCGACCTGTGTCATTTGGTTAATTTACTTAATTTCCATTGAGTGAAGTGCTTGAGAACCCTTACTCAGTACAGCAATATTATTAAATTTCGTCTGTATATATATTTGATATACTTGGTATGATTAGTTTGTATGAAAATTTATGAAAGAATACTTTTTTCAACCAATAAACCTTAAAAATATTATGATCACTAAGTTTAAGAATTTGGATAAGTAAAGGTTTAAGATTTTGCAAAAATAATAATGACAGATTTATTCTGTAGGTTATACAAGATCAGATCTGCATATAAATAAATTTTTTTTTCAGTATTTAGTATTGACTTTCACTCTTTCTCTTTGGTGTTGTTAGTAATATTTAATCGAGTCTTTGGTTATTTTTTTTTTTAACTTTTCACTCTTTCTTTTTCTATGCTCCTAGGTAATAAATAACTTGATTCGATGCTTTCGTACGTTGTCGTTGGTGTCATTAATAATATTTAATCGAGTCTTTGGTTTTTTTTTTTTCTTAATAACTTTTACTCTTTCTTTTCTATGCTTCTAGGTAATGAATAACTTGATTCGATTCTTTCGTACATCGTCATTGGTGTTGTTAGTAATATTTAATCAAGTCTTTAGTTATTTTTTTTTTTTTTAATAACTTTTCACTCTTTCTTTTTCTATGCTCTTAGGTAATAAGTAACTTGATTCGATTCTTTCATACGTCGTCGTTGGTATCATTAGTAATATTTAATCGAGTCTTTGGTTATTTTTTTTTTCTTAATAACTTTTCACTCTTTCTTTTTTTATACTCCTAGGTAATAAGTAACTTGATTCGATTCTTTCATATGTCATTGCTGATGTCGTTAGTAATATTTAATCGAGTCTTTGGTTATTTTTTTTTTCTTAATAACTTTTTACTCTTTCTTTTTCTATGCTCCTAAGTAATAAGTAACTTGATTTGATTCTTTCGTACGTTGTTGTTGGTATCATTAGTAATATTTAATTGAGTCTTTAGTTATTTTTTTTTTTCTTAATAACTTTTCACTCTTTCTTTTTCTATACTCCTAGGTAATGAATAACTTGATTCGATTCTTTTGTACGTCGTCGTTGGTGTCGTTAGTAATATTTAATTAAGTCTTTGGTTATTTTTTTTCTTAATAACTTTCACTCTTTCTTTTTCTATGCTTCTAGCTAATAAATAACTTGATTTGATTCTTTCGTACGTCATCGTTGGTGTTGTTAGTAATATTTAATCGAGTCTTTGGTTATTTTTTTTTTCTTAATAACTTTTCACTTTTTCTTTTTCTATGCTCCTAGGTAATAAGTAACTTGATTTAATTCTTTCGTACATCATCGTTGGTGTCGTTAGTAATATTTAATCAAGTCTTTGGTTATTTTTTTTTTCTTAATAACTTTTCACTCTTTCTTTTTCTATGCTTCTAGGTAATAAGTAACTTGATTTGATTCTTTCATATATTGTTGCTGGTATCATTAATAATATTTAATTGAGTCTTTAGTTATTTTTTTTTTCTTAATGACTTTTCACTCTTTCTTTTTCTATGCTCTTAGGTAATGAATAACTTGATTCGATTCTTTCGTACATCGTTGTTAGTGTTATTAGTAATATTTAATTGAGTCTTTGGTTATTTTTTTTTCTTAATAACTTTCACTTTTTCTTTTCTATGCTCCTAGGTAATGAATAACTTGATTTGATTCTTTCGTACGTCATCGTTGGTGTTGTTAGTAGTATTTAATCGAGTCTTTGGTTATTTTTTTTTCTTAATAACTTTCTCTTTTTCTTTTTCTATACTCCTAGATAATGAATAACTTGATTTGATTCTTTCGTACATCGTCGTTGGTATTGTTAGTAATATTTAATTGAGTCTTTGGTTATTTTTTTTTTCTTAATAACTTTTCACTCTTTCTTTTTCTATGCTTCTAGGTAATAAGTAACTTGATTCGATTCTTTTGTACGTCATTATTGATGTTGTTAGTAATATTTAATCGAGTCTTTAGTTATTTTTTTTTTCTTAATAACTTTTCACTCTTTCTTTTTCTATGCTTTTAGGTAATGAATAACTTGATTCGATTCTTTTATACGTCGTCGTTGGTGTTGTTAGTAATATTTAATCGAGTCTTTGGTTATTTTTTTTTTTCTTAATAACTTTTACTCTTTCTTTTCTATGCTTCTAGGTAATGAATAACTTGATTTGATTTTTTCGTATGTCGTCATTGGTGTTGTTAGTAGTATTTAATTAAGTCTTTGGTTATTTTTTTTTTCTTAATAACTTTTACTCTTTCTTTTTCTATACTCCTAGGTAATGAATAACTTGATTCGATTCTTTTGTATATTATCATTGGTGTCATTAGTAATATTTATTCGAGTCTTTGGTTATTTTTTTTTTCTTAATAACTTTTCACTCTTTCTTTTTCTATGCTCCTAGGTAATAAGTAACTTGATTTGATTCTTTCGTACATCGTTGTTGGTGTTGTTAGTAATATTTAATCGAGTCTTTGGTTATTTTTTTTTTCTTAATAACTTTCACTCTTTCTTTTTCTATGTTTTTATGTAATAAGTAACTTGATTCGATTCTTTTGTATGTCATTATTGGTGTCATTAGTAGTATTTAATCGAGTCTTTGTTTATTTTTTTTTCTTAATAACTTTTCACTCTTTTTTTTTCTATACTCCTAGGTAATGAATAACTTGATTCGATTCTTTTGTACATTGTCGTTGGTGTCGTTAGTAATATTTAATCAAGTCTTTGGTTTTTTTTTTTCTTAATAACTTTTCACTCTTTTTTTTTCTATATTTCTAGGTAATAAGTAACTTGATTTGATTCTTTCGTATATCATCGTTGGTGTCATTAGTAATATTTAATTGAGTCTTTGGTTATTTTTTTTTCTTAATAACTTTTACTCTTTTTTTTCTATGCTCCTAGGTAATAAATAACTTGATTCGATTCTTTCGTACATTGTCGTTGGTGTTGTTAGTAGTATTTAATCGAGTCTTTGGTTAATTTTTTTTTCTTAATAACTTTTCACTCTTTCTTTTTCTATACTTCTAGGTAATAAGTAA